CCCCAAAACCCCAAAACCCCAAAACCCCAAAACCCCAAAACCCCAAAACCCCTTAAAAGGGAGGAAATATTGGATCAGTTAATAAACATTAACGTAACACAATGGAACAACAGAAGCCTAAGATGATTTATAGAAAATTAGGTAACACTGGGCTAGATGTCTCTGTACTTTCTTTCGGAACATGGCTGACTGCTCATGATGATAAAGCTGAAGATGACATCATTGAGTGCATGAAGAAAGCATGGGAACTAGGTGTTAATTTCTTTGATACTGCTGAAGGTTATGGGGCAGGGGTAGCTGAGACTCTTCTAGGTAAAGGCCTGAAAGCAATCGGAGCTCCAAGAGAAGATTTCGTAGTCTCTACTAAGCTCTTTATATGTGGATCAGGAGTAAACGATAAAATGCTTAGTAGAAAGCATCTCGTGGAAGGAGTTAAGAATTCTTTGAAAAGACTTGACCTTGATTATGTTGATGTGATCTTTTGTCATAGACCAGATACTCAGACTCCTATTGACGAAACATGCAGAGCTATGGATTGGATAGTTGAGGAAGGATACGCCTTCTACTGGGCTACTTCTGAATGGACTCCAGACCAGATCGCTAGAGCTATGGAGGTCTGTGAGAAAGAAGACCTCAACAAGCCAATTGCTGATCAGTGCCAATACAACGGCTTCTACAGAGAAAACTTTGAGAAAAACTTGAGACATTCATATGAGAACTACAAATATGGAACAACCGTCTGGTCTCCTCTTGCCATGGGGCTTCTAACTGGTAAATATAATAGTGGAGAGTTTCCTGTAGGATCAAGGTTCCATCCTGACAGTGAAGAGTCTAAGTTCGACCATTGGTACTTTGGCAAAGATGGTATGACAGATAATATTTTTGGTACAGAGTCTGTTGTCTTGGTTATGAGGATGAATATTATATCTCCAATGTTAATTTACTGAGTAGCAGAAGAGAGAGCGCATTAGAGACATGCAACAAATTCACAAAGATTGCTGAAGAAGTGGGATGTACTTCAGCCCAGCTTGGCCTTGCATGGGTTATTGTCAACAGAGATACTAGTACTTGTATCTTCGGAGCTAAAACCCCTCAGCAAGTAGAAGACAACATCGGGGCTTTGAAGGTAGCTTCAAAGTGGACTGAAGAGCTTGAAGACAAGATAGAAGAGGCTCTTGGCAATCAGCCAGACCCAGAGATGGACTACAACACCTGGGCTCCAAAAAGGCCAAGAAGAAGAGTAGCAATTGACTATAATATGCCAAATCTTAATGAATAAGTTGGAAAAATTATATCAGAAATTGTTTTGCTTTTCTTTTGCTTTTTGGATATACCCATGACTCTTTCGCTTATCCAAACTGCTTAGGGTTCATATTAATAAATCACTTAGTCCTGGCATCAAAGACTTTCATTTTCTTTCTTTCATTTCCAGAATATTTCTTACTCACTTAGATGTGATTTCTCAAAATATCTTTAAGAGGTGTTGCGTTGCATCAGAAATTTAGATCTACGTCACTTCAATACTCCCTCAGAATATTGGGGTTTTGGGGTTTTGGGGTTTTGGGGTTTTGGGGTTTTGGGGTTT